GCGGGGCTTCAAGGAAGGGGTGGGGCGGTAGATCTTGGCTTGGTCTGTCATTTAAAAAGTGATCTTGGGTGTAAAAAGGTTGGAGACCACTGATCTACACGTATGTGAGCTGTTATACTGTTTTTTATGAGGAATTTCTCAACTGTGTAAACTTTATTATTGACCCTATCATGGCAACCACAAACACTTGTGCTATGTCTACACTGCCCCCATTTTGTGCAAAAGATATGCAAATGAGGCAAAGCATGGAATATCGCCATGCCTCATTTGCATAATAAACAAGGCTCCGTTTTTGCACAAGAGGCTTTTGTGCAAAAATGGAGCCTCGTTAATTATGCAAATGAGGCACGGCGATATTCCATGCTTCTCCTCATTTGCATGTTTTTTGGGTGCAAAATGGGGGCACGTAGACATAGCCTTGCTGAGAAAGGTAACTTACACCTTATTCTGAACAAGCCTCAGGACCTCTGGGGGGCATAAGCGAGTTTCAGAGGGCTGCCAAAATAAACCAGAGAGCAGGGCCAGTGTTAGACTCATTGAGGCTGAATCTTGAGCAACTTAGCTTAGTGGGGTCCCTGTGGTGTGAGACCCTTGGCAATTGTCCAGCTTGCTAGCTCCTAATGCGGGCCAGTCAGAAAAAACCAGTTGCTGTGGCACAGGTGGGCTGTGGAATTTTTATAGCATGTTGAGGTGGAGGGAAGGCTCGGAAAGAACAGGGTCGAGAACTCCTGACCTACACTATAGACAAATTTGTTACTGCATACAATTTAGCTGTCATCACCTCCCACTTTCCTTTATTGTTTTATGCCTTTGTTCAGTTACGACTTTGGCTATTACACCCCCATCATATCCACCAGCAAGCTCCTATAAACTAGCATGCCTGATAAAGGAGATTTCCTGTAGACCAGCAGGAGCTACTGGACTCACTCTTCCTGGATGCCACAGCTCACAAGGGAACATTGACAGTTGTAGTTGCAACTTACAGCTGAATCACAGCCTGAACAGCAGGAAGCAAGAAAGATGCTTAAAAGTACCTTTACCCCAGTCTCCATTTCTTCCCTGAATGTACTTTGGTCGGAGGGAAGAGCTAGGCAGCTAGCCATCACACACGAATAGCCCTTTTTTCTTCATCATTTACAATTGTTGACACTTGTGCTAGGGTGGCATTGCATGCAATGAAAGCCACTGGGAGAACTTTTGTGAGCCTGAAATGAGTGTTTCATTGAGCTTAATTGAACATTAACCACATTGTACTGCAACACAATGCTTTATTTTTGATCAAAACCCCTTGCTAAGCTAGCTAACTAGGTATGCACCTGACATACGGATTTTGCCTTTCGTTTTTGCTAGCCCATTCATGATCTCAGTGTGATATGCTGTACATTTTTGCCTAAAAATCCAGATAAAATATTTTACAAAATTCTAACAGCTTAAAACCCAAGAAGTTTGTGCATTAGCCTGGCTGTAGCGCACACAACCTAAAAGCCAGAATGAGTGCATGCAATACAGGTTCTAAAGACATATTGTTTAGGATGACATAGGTAGCTCATTGGTGTTTGCACTCCTCATGACTAAAGGAAGGCCCCCAAAATCCCAGGGATCTGACCTTTATAACAACACCAGAAGGCACAGTCAGTTGCTGGCCAACAGGCCAGGCTAGGGTGCCATAAGTCAGGCAACTTGAAACTGCCTTGGACTAATGTCGAAGCTTTCCTGTGATGTGGGCATGCTCTTTCAAAATACAGTAGACTTCCAATAATCCAGCACCTTTGGGACCTAGGTGATGCCAGATTATTGGATATGCCGGAGTACCACGAGGTACTGTTAAGAGGGCATACTCCCAACCCAATTCCCCTCTCCCCCCCACACCTTATGCTCGGGTGCTGGAGCTGCTGGTATAGCCGCACGTCTCCCGCCAGGCGCTGGGGCACGTGCGCTGAGTGGCCGACTTTTCAATGAGTTGGCCAGGATGCCGTGTGCAACTCAATACCCCTCCTCGTCCCTCCCCTGCCCCAGAGCCAAACACCTCCCCTCCCTGCTGTCACCCAATCCCTCTTCTCCCCCAAATTTACATCCGGGTTCCGAAGCAGCTGCCAGTGCTCAGCAGCCGGCTGCTAGCATGTGCAGGCTGGGCCCCGGGTGCCGCAGGCTGTAAGCATGAATGCAGCTCCCAGCAGCCCGACCATGAGAGCGGCTGACCTGAGCAGTTCCAGGTTCCAGCTGATGCCGGACTATCTGGAGTGCCGGACAACTGGATGCTGGACTATTGGAGTTTTATTGTAGTTGTTTCGGGAGTTATTATTTCAAAATAAGTTATTTTGAAATAATTTCCAAGTGTAGATATGCCGTTAGTCTCTTAAGGGTACGTTTACATAGCAGTGCAAAAGTCGAATTAAGCTACGCAACTTCAGCTATGTCAACTGTGTAGCTGAAATCAAACTAGCTTAATTCGGCTGTTGGCGCTGTCTACACAGTGGGAAGTGGAAGGAAGAACACTCTTCCTTCGCCTTCCCTTACGCCTGGGCTGTGTCTAGACTGGCCAGTTTTTCCGGAAAATCAGCCGCTTTTCCGGAAAAACTTGCCAGCTGTCTACACTGGCCACTTGAATTTCCACAAAAGCACTGATGATCTCATGTAAGAGTGTCACTGCTTTTGCGGAAATACTATGTTGCTCCCGTTCGGGCAAAAGTCTTTTTCCGAAAGACTTTTGCACAAAAGGGCCAGTGTAGACAGCAGAGATTTATTTTCCGCAAAAAAGCCCCGATCGTGAAAATGGCGATCGGGGCTTTTTTGCGGAAAAGCGCGTCTAGATTGGCCATGGATGCTTTTCCGCAAAAAGTGCTTTTGCGGAAAAGCATCCTGCCAATCTAGACGCGCTTTTCCGAAAATGCTTTTAACGGAAAACTTTTCCGTTAAAAGCATTTCCGGAAAATCATGCCAGTGTAGACATAGCCCTGGTAAGATGAGAGTTACAGGAGTTGGAGAAAAAAGTCCTCCAGCTCGTCATTATTTTGAAACGAAGGCTTGCTGTGCAGACACGCACTGTGTTATTTCGGAACGTCAGTTATTCCGCACTAACGCTGCTGCGGGGACGTACCCACAGGCCTCCGCCTTGCTTTGGCAGCTCCAGACCCCTCTGCGGCTTTTTCCCCAAGACCTTTTGTGGCATCACCATCCCAGCTGGGCACCCTCGCCTCCCACCCCTTAGCACCCTTGTCTTGTGAGGCAAGGACAACCCCCTCAGGGGTAGGGCTGCCAGACGGTTTCCACAAAACTAGGGGACACACTTGACATGACGTCACAATCGACATTCCATCTGAGTTGGAGAACACCGGACCTTTCTATATTGTCTCCCTTTGTTTCCCGAAGAGAAAGATCGAATACTGGACTCAAAACCAGACACCTGGCAACCCTACTCAGGGATCTTCTCCAGGGGCCCCCCAATGCGACCGGGGCACCCCTCCCCATCCAGGGCAGCCCCCCCCATGGGTCCTGGGGGGTG